TGGAGGGCGGCACCAACATCGTCCGTCTGTATGACATCGTTCGCGATCCCTATGTACGCTGTGGCTCCCTCCCCCTCTCTCTCTCTCTCTCTCTCCCTTTCTCTCCCTCCCTCTCTCTTTCTCTCTCTTTCTCTCTCCCGCTCCGGTTGTGGCATCGCTCTGCGCCACTCGCAAGGCTGCTCCTCCCTGTTTCCTGAGCTGGCGTGGCGGTCGGCCGAGCAGGCTCTCCTGGCTGGCCTGCCCCCCTCTCGCCCCCCCCCCCTTGTCCGTGACTCTGGCCCCTGTGCTTACCTGCGCACCCCTTTCTCCTCTGCTCCCCCCCCCCCCCGGCAGTCCCGGACACCCTCCTTCATCTTCGAGTTCGTCAACACCGTCGACCACAAGCAGCTCTATCGCACCCTGAAGGCGGATGACATTCGCTACTACATCTACCAGCTGCTCCTGGCCCTCGACTATGCCCACTCGCATGGCATCATGCACCGCGATGTCAAGCCGCACAATGTCATGATCGACCACAACAAGCGCCAGCTGCGCCTCATCGATTGGGGTCTGGCCGAGTTCTACCACCCCAACACCGCGTACAATGTGCGCGTCGCCTCGCGCTACTTCAAGGGCCCGGAGCTGCTTGTGGACTTCCAGCACTACGACTACTCCCTGGACCTGTGGAGCCTGGGCTGCATGTTCGCCGGCATGGTGCGTTGTGCTGGTCCACCGGCCTTTCCTTATGTGCCCCTCCCCCCCCCCCGCCCCTCGCCCAGGGCCGCCCCTCGCCGCCCTGTTGCTCATCTGCACCCCTCTTGCCCCGATCGTCGCCATCTATCTCACCCATCTCGCTCCCCCGCACGTCGCGCGCACAGATTTTCAAGGTTGACACCTTCTTCTGCGGCTCGGACAACGTCGACCAGCTTGTCAAGATTGTCGACGTCCTGGGGTTCAAGAAGCTCGAGGCGTACCTGGACAAGTACAAGCTCCGCCTGCACACGTCCATCCTCTCGCTCCTGTCCGGCAAGGAGGGCCGCCGCCTGAGCTCCTTCATCAATGACGACAACCGGGATCTGGCCTCGGCCGACGCCATCGACTTCCTGGAGCGTCTGCTGCGCTTCGACCATGTCGAGCGCCTGACCGCCCGCGAGGCCATGCTCCACCCCTACTTCGACCCGATCCGCCACGAGGTCAGCCCTCCCCAGCCGTACAACAACAGCACCGGCTTCCTGGAGACCAACTAACGGGCGGCGGCTCGGCCCGAGGTCCTCTCCCGCCCTCGGCCCTCCTCCCATGCCCGTCGGGCGGCCCCACGCGCCTGACTCTGTCCTCGGGGGCAAGGGCAGCGAGGGCGGGAGAGAGCACCCGCCGCCTCTCTGATAATGCAGATGGGGCTCCTTGCGTCCCCCTCTCGCCGTGGGCGCATACGCCCTGGTTTTTTCCTCGTCTCTCTCTCTCTCCCTCTGCCCTCGGTGACTTTGTCGTTGTCGCGCGCACGCGCGCGTATCGGCGCGCTATCCGGTCCACCACTCCCCCTCCTTTTCCTTCTTTGCACAAACGCATGCCCTGTACTTGTTCCCACTCCACACAAGAAAATAAACCAAATCGCCATACGCGTGTAGCCGCGCCGTTTGTTTCCTGTCGCCGTCTGGCACGTGTATCTCTTTTGTGCGTGGGCGGCCGGTAGCAGGGGGCGCGAGCCCCCCCCCCCTTAGCGAGGCTGCCGGTAGTGGCCCCCGGGCGAGCGACTGCGGCTGCGGTCACGATGACGGCCACGATCATGGCGGCCGGCGTCGGTGAACCTCCGGCCGGCATAGGGGGGACTACGGCTACGGCTACGACCGCGATAGCGCCCACGGCCACGGTCAGGGCTGTAGCTACGGCTACGACTGCGATAGCGGTAGCGATCCCGGCTGTGGTCGCGGCCACGATCCTGGCCACGGCTGCGGCTGCGGTCCCGGCTGCGGCTGCGGTCCCGGCTGCGGCTGCGGTCCCGGCTGCGGCTGCGGTCCCGGCTGCGGCTGCGGTCCCGGCTGCGGTCCCGGCTGTGACTACGGTCTCGGCCACGGCTGCGATCCCGACTGCGGTCACGGCTGCGATCCCGACTGCGGTCACGGCTGCGATCCCGACTGCGGTCACGGCTGCGGCTGCGATCCCGACTGCGGCTGCGATCCCGACTGCGGCTGCGATCCCGACTGCGGCTGCGATCCCGACTGCGGCTGCGGCTACGACTGCGGCTGCGGCTACGACGAGGCTCGGGCTCACGATCAGGCTCAGCGCCTGCACGGTCAGCAGCCTGCTTGGCTAGCTCGCGCTCGCGCTCCAAACGGAGCTTCTCCTCGCGCACGCGCTGGCGAAAGGCCTCGGCCTGGGCGTCGGCCGCAGAGATGTTCGACGGGAGGCCGGCTCCCGGCTCTTCGCGGCGCTGGCTCAGCTGCAGGATGCGGTTTTTGACGTCGTCAATCGAGGCACGAACCTCATAGCCAGACCGACCAAGCTTGCGCTGGTCTGTCGGCAGGCGTGTCGGCATTCGCGGCGGGAAAAGGACCCGTGGAGGGGCAGGGTGAGTTGTTGCACGTTGGTTGGAGGACAGAAGAGAAAGTCGCAAGGGGAGAGAGGGAAGAGGGGGGGGAGGGAAAAGGGAGGCAAAAGCACAGACGACGCACGGCGATCGCTGTTCAAGTGGTCCACGTAGGTGATCGAATCGCGGATGTATACATCACACACGGCGCAGTGGAAGCCGGGCTGCGTGAAGCCGAGGCCGCCGACCAACTTCGACTGGTTCAGGCGCTCGGTGAAGTCCACGCGCTCCGTGCGAGCCTGCAAGTTATTGGCATAGGTGCGCGGGGGCCGGGGGGCATCGGCGGCGGGGTCGGCATCGTCACGAGGGTGGCGATTTCGTGCGCGCTCTGCATACTCGTTCTTGTCCCAGGTTCGACGGAAGCTCGTGTCGTGGGTCTTCGTGGTGGGGGTGAGGGAGGGGGGAACAGAAGGGAGGGGGAGAGTGAGACGGGGGGAAGAGGAGTGAGAGGGTGGCTCCCTGTCGAGGGTGGCTCCGAGGCAGGAGGAGCAATGGTTGCACGTACAGACTTCGGCCCGGGGCCGCCTCCTCGGTGGCTCATGGTCAATAGCGAGTGGCGAGGAGAGGGGGGAGGAGGGGTGGGAAGGGGAGGGAGGGAGGGGGAACAACAAGGATGCAGAGGGGATCTGGCCACCGATGGGGGCACTAATTCAAAAGGAATGAGCGAGGCACACTTCTCTCGGTGGCAGATCGGTCCGGCGCATCCGCCCAGACGTTGCTGCACCGTCACGCCTCCCCGCCCCGCCCCCCCCCCCACCGCCCCTCTCGCCTTGCTCGGCCGTGGCATGGAAGGAGGCGCGGCCATGCGTTGGCATGCCCGGTGTTGGGGAGGACCGGGTCCGTGAGGCGTGATGTACCGGGCGGACCGGGAAGGATGTGGCCCCGTGCGCGGGGTGTGACATGCGCGTGACATGGCCGTGCATATGTCGGGATTTTTCCTGGGCGCGGGCGTTGTCGGTGAGACGCGCCGACGGCGCCTCCGCTCCCCCCCCCCCCCCCCCCCCCCCCCCCCCCCCCCCCCC